CTGCTAATGTGTTATTAAAAAAATCTGCTGTTTGATGGGATCAGATCAGGTCAGATGCATTAGAGCTACTAAAAAAGCAGCTACAAAAGAAGGTGACAGGCACCAGAGCTGAAGGTGCAGAAGAACTGCAGTGCCACAGATTTTCCCTGCCACTTCGTAGCACCCACATGCCAAGGGAGCAGGTAATAGTCATCACCTGCTGGGTGACAGCATGAGATGAGGAATACACAGTGATGTTGTCCTTTCCTCCTCTACCTGCTTGTTCTTTCATCAGGTCACGGGCAGTATTGGAAGATACCACAGGCAGAAATGGGTTTGGAGGCTGCCCTCATGGTGGGATGAAGCTGCAGATGACTCCTTAACCTGCATGGTGTGGTTACACTGCACCAACGAGTTCTTGTTGTTTCACGTCCAATGACCAGGCTTTCCCCTTCCATAACTGCCAAGCTTGTCATGTTTTTCAGTAGCGTGGTGTGACAGTGGGTCATTTTGGAGCAGAAAAGCCTACAAAGAAAACAGTCATGCCTGAATCATAGGCTGAAATGCCTTAGGTCACCTTGCTGTCAGGAGCATGCAGGTTGGCATGATGACTTCACAGGCTGTAACAGCAATGTTGAGAGGCCCATTAACAGCAAGGTGTTTCTTTGCATCTAACTGTGCAGCTTTAGAAAGAAGTTGTTATTTCTGCTTACTAGATGATGGGGAAGCAGCACTGCTTACCTGGTGTCTGCCAGCAGCTGTGCAGAAGACACTGTCCCCCAGTAGGGCTGGAGAAAGCAACCAGAGCACCATGGGAGGGGTCTGATGGTGGGAAGAGGTTGAGATTTTTGTCTTTGCAGTGAGTCCCCCTGGGTTGGTTTGCATGCTTGTTCTCTGGTGATGGGAAGGAGCTTATTGGCTGAATGATACAAGGCAGTCATCTCCAGTCCTTGGGAGCAGCTACTGATCCATTTCAGCCTGTCTAAAGCAGGGGGGGCTACTGTACCTTTAGTGCCACATCTGGATTTTTTGGTCTAAAAACGTGGTTTTCTTCCTGTGTAGTCTGGGTGGTTTGTTGTGCTTATCAAGCACTGGCTGGACAGTTGGGCCCACAGAGTGGTGGTCAGTGGAGTCAAATCCAGCTGGGGCCAATCACAAATGGTGTTCCTCAGGGCTCAGTGTTGGGACTGTTTAACATATTTGTTGATGATCTTGATAAGGACATAGAGTGTTTTATCAGTAAGTTTGCAGATGACATCAAGCTAGGTGGGAGTGTTGATCTGCATGAGGATAGAGAGGCTCTGCAGAGAGACTTGGATAGATTGCATCGTTAGGCTGATGCATTGAGGTCTGGGCTTCAACAAGGCCAAGTGCCAGGTCCTGCACTTGGGCCACAGCAACCCCAGGCAACGCTCCAGGCTTGGGGAAGTGTGGCTGGAAAATGGCAGAAAAGGACCTGGGGGTTCTGATTGAGAAGCAGCTGAACATGAGCCTGCAGTGTGCCCAGGTGGCCAAGAAAGCCAATGGCATCCTGGCCTGTATTAGAAATAGTGTGACCAGCAGAAGTAGAGAGGTGATTGTCCCCCTGTACTCAGCACTGGTGAGGCCACACCTGGAGTATTGTGTCCAGTTTTGGGCACCTCAATTCAAGAGAGATGTTGAGGTGCTGGAGTGAGTACAGAGTAAGGCAACGAAGCTGGTGAAGGGCCTAGAGAATCAATCTGATGGAGAATGCTTGAAGGAGCTGGGAATGTTTAGTTTGAGAAAGAGGAGGCTGAGGGAAGACCGGTCTCTACAACTACCTGAAAGGTCATTGTGGAGAGATTGGTGCTGGTATCTTCTCACAGGTAATTGGGACCTTGGGAACAAGAGGGAATGGCTTCAAGCTGCAACAGGGGAGGTTTGGTGGGACATTAGGAAAACTTTCTTCACGGAGAGAGTGGTTAGAGACTGGAATAGGCTGCCCAGGGAGGTGGTTGAGTCACCATCCCTGGATGTGTTTAAGGGTCATTTGGATGTGGTGTTGGTGGATATGGTTTAGGGGAGAACTTTGTAGAGTAGGGATGATGGTTTGACTCGGTGATCCCAAGGGTCTTTCCCAACCTGAATAGTTCTGTGATTCTATGTTTCAGCTTAGTGTTTGACTGGCTGACTCTCTGGTGTGATGCCCTGCTGCTGTCAGAAATGGACACAGAACGGCTTCATCAGCATGTAGTTGTGCTTGGGATAATTAGCCTTTATTAGTTCACCAGAGTGCTTCTGTTCCCAGCTTTCCTACTTCTGCCTTGCCTCATGCTGTGGTTTCTAGCTGGATCCCTGGAGTCCCTGGTGGGATTGGCCCTCCAGCTGCTTTACTGCTCATCTCACTCCTGTATCTCTTGTAACTGGAAGCATGTAGTAGTGCAGCTGAGAGGCAACGGCATTCTCTCCTCCTCTTACACACAGAAGTGGTAATGGTCACTGGGAAGACCAGGGAATGCAGGAGCCCCCAGCACTGCCTTCATGAGGACAGTTGTGTGATGCAGCTTATTCCTGGGCAGTGCTGGGGATGAGCTACCAAACAGTGTTCTGCTGTCGGGGTTAGCAGGATTGATGACAGCATACAACCCATTGTGGTTTAATGGTGTCTTTGTGCTGGGTTGTGCATCACAGAGATGGAATCTGTGAATCCTGCTGTAGTTCATTTGACAGCTGCCAATTGTGCTTGTACAAGAAGGCTTAGTGCAGGTTGGTTTGTTCCAGAATCCAACTTGTAGAGCAAATCTCTGGAAGATGTTACATTTGAGACATGGCAGTTGCCCAGCCACAATTCAGTCATGCTGCACCTCAATCTCTTCCCCTTGCTTTTCTCCCCTTAGTGTAGGAATACTGAAAAGAGAGACATTCTGAGCCTCATATCAGGGTGAGGAATGAAACTAAATGAAGTTTTTCTGCCGTGTACTGAACAGCAAAGAGAGGAGGCTACAGCTAGTCCAGCAAGGTTGTTTATTTTCTGTGATAGAGCAGAATTCAACTAAAAAATACATGAGCTTTCTGAAACCCTTTCAAAACTTCTGCATACCCATACTGTGAACACGCAGAGCTCTGGAGGGTGCTCAGGATTTTTTTTCAGAAGATTTTGTGCTTGGGCAGCTCAAATGCCTGCTTGGCCAGCAGGAGTAGGGATGTGATTCTTCTCCTGTACACAGCACTGGTGAGGCCTCATCTCGAGTCCTGTGTACAGTTCTGGGCCACTCACTTCAAGAAGGATCTTGAGGTGCTAGAGCAGGTCCAGAGGAGAGCAACGAGGCTGATGAAAGGAATAGATGGAAAGTCTTATTGGGATGGGCTGAGGCAGCTGGGGTTGTTTAGCCTGGAGGAGAGGAGATTCAGGGAGGACCTCATCACTCTCTTCAACTACCTGAAAGGAGGTTGTAGTCAGGTGGGGACTGGGCTCTTTTTCCAGGCAACTAGTGACAAGACAAGAGGGCACAGACTCAAGCTGCTCCAGGGGAGGTTTAGATTGTATATCAGGAAGTACTTCCTCAAAGAGAGGGTGATCAGACAGTGGAATGGACTGCCCAGAGAAGTGGTGGAGGCACCATCCCTGGATGTGTTCAGGGGAAGGCTGGATGTGGCACTTAGTGCCATGGTCTGGCCAGTGTGGTGGTGTCAGGTCATAGGCTGGACTTGGTGATCTTAAAGGTCTTTTCCAGCCTTGGTGATTCTGTGATTGTGTGAAATGGTGGTTGTCTGTGCTCAGATGGTGGTTGTTGTCTGAGGTCAAAACATGATCTTCTTTGTGATGGCAGAACATTTCTGTTGAGGTCAGTAAAAGTCTTAAGAATCTGTGGTGCTCTGCTGAGCTCTGGCATGGGAAAGAGCTCTTTTTGCACTCCTGTTACAAAGCTTATTCAGGTAGACAGAGGAACCTGAGCAAGCAGGAGGAACAGGCCAGCAAGAACCTCGTGATGTTGAGCAACGCAAGGTTGTGTGTGTGGAACAATTGTACCTGCACGTAGGGATGTGCAGCCTGGGGCTGGCTGGGCCCCAGATCTGCAGGAAAGGACCCAGGCTTCCTGCAGATAATAAACACAGGTCAGCACTGAGAGCAAACTGAACTGCATTACTGGAGTGTGATCCTCAGCTTGAGGGACATGGTTGTTCCGTTACGCTGATGCATTCAGCATTAAGGAGGCCACCTCTGCAAACAGTGTTCTGGTTTGGGCACTCAGTTCAGGAATGGTATCAACAAACTGGGGACAGTGTGGCAGAGGGCCACCAAAATGATAGAGGAGTGGAATCCATGACACAGGAGGAGAGGCTGAGGGAAGTGAGCTCATTTTAGCTTGGAGAAGGTGAAGGGACAAGGATCTAAAGGCTTTCACTGCCTCTAATGGGGCTGTAGTGAAGCCAGAGCCAGGTACTTTGCAGGTGCCCAGTGATAGGCAAGGGACTACAGTCATAGTTGGCCAGAGGAGAATTCTGAATTGAACATGAGGAAGGTTCTTTACCACAGGAATGATTAAGTGCTGGAACAGATACCCAGAGCAGCTTTGAAGTCTCTGCCCTCCCACAGTGTCAAAACTTGATAGATGAGACCCTGAGCAACCTGTCTGAACTCTCAACTTGGTCCTGCTTTGAGTAGGAGGTTGGCTTGGAGACCTCCTGGGGTTCCTTCTGATTTAAACAGGTGCTGTCATCCCATGCCAAAGTTTCTGCCTTATGCTGAAATCCCCTGCAGCAAGTTCCCTCTGCAGAGTCACATTGCTGTGACAAGGGAAGTCAGCAGGCAGTGAGTGTCTGGCTCACAGATCACGTCCTCCTTAACCCCATATCTGAATGTTAAGAGGAGTGCAATAGTTTGTGGTATCTCTGCAGTTTTTTTATTTGAATAATGAAATAGCTAAACCTCGCTCATAACTTAAGCTTTGTGCATTTTGAAGTGCTTCTTTGGATGTCAAATGGTTAAGTAACATTAAAGTATAAAAATATAGTTTTAAAATTGGAATTTCAAGTAACTCTCACCTTCTCTTTCTAAGGTCAACGAATGGTCCTTGAAGATAAGGAAAGAAATGAGAGTGATTGATAGACAGATCAGAGGTTTGTACTTATGTCTCATTTTTTGTTTTTCTTTTCCCTGTCTGCCCTCAAGGTTTTTTTCTCTAATTGGGGGAAGGCTGTGAAATAAAATAACCAGGGGTACCCTGTTGCATTTGTAATAAAGGAAGATGAATGTGATCTTGGGGCCAGACTTGGTCTGTTTTACAAAAGGAGGACACTGTGAAGTTCTCCAAGTAAATGCTTGCAGTAAGACACAATGCTCTTAATTCCCATTTGATAAGATGAATTAGAGTTGACACCCAGAACTTCACCCACATTCCCACATTGATTTAAGGAATAGTATCCATACTTGTTGTCAGCTTGGGAAAATTGCCAACAGGAAAGAGGAAGAAAAAAATACTTTTCTCAGTGGATGTTTTACTATTAAATTATGGGCATTTCACTTCTGAAGGGCTCTTGAGAAGTAGAGGAGTTGCTTATTATTACACTGTTACTAGTTCAGTTTCTTGTTCTCTCTTCTGCCCACCTTCCCAGAATCTGGAAATAGGTTTGGGGCAGATCCTTTTTCCCTATTTGTCTTCTACCCTGCCCTAAAGATTGGTCCGTGGGATGTGCTGCTAAAGGCTGTTTTGTGTCAGCATCTGACTTTAGACACGTGCCTGTTTTGGGTGACTCAAGGGGTACATTCTCCCTTCCCCCTTTCCTCCCCAGCCCCATGCCTCTGCAGGAACCTGGCAGGGTTCATGCATCCTCCCATCTCTGCGAGTTGATTGGAGGGAGATGCTGGTGCAGTGTGAAGTCTGTCCCCATCTCTAAAATGAGAACAGGGTTGATGCCTCTTCCAGGAAAACCGATCTACAGTGATGTTCATTATTCTTGTGAGTTGTTTTGCCTTCTCCACAGCACTTTGTGTGGCTGTGTCAGGCACAGAGCAACTGAAACATGGCTGATCTTGTTAGCCCAGTGGGGTGTGGAGGTTGCATCTTCCATGGGAGAAAACTACCCACGTGTTCACTATAGATGGTTTCTTTCAACTTTATGCATGCCATAATACTTCTCATGGCCTGTGTAGATATTAGGTTATGTGGCAGTATGTCATGGATGTGAATCTAATTATTGTAACAGCTCTAAACATGTCTGCCTATGTATTTCAGAGTGTTACATTGAAAGAAATACCATTCAGTGTATAAGAGCTTAGACTAACTATCCTCAGTCTGCTTGCAAAGCCCAAATGGTGAGAGGATTTCATATCTTCCCAAGTGTCAGCTCTGAATGTTTGTGGTTCTGCTGGCACTTGCCAGGCTCACAGGCTGCTGCAGAAGGATGACAGCCACCAGCCACCAAAGGTGTTATTCAAAACTGACCCACTGTAGTTGGGTTCTGCCATGAGTTTCTCATTTCAGTTGAAAATGCTGAGCTGGAACCTTAGTTTCCCTGAGGAGGGCTGTGCTAGATGGGTTTTGATGTGACAGAACTCAGATCTACCTGGGATGTACTGAGTGGGCTTGGACCACTGCAGCACTTGGCTCACCCGGTCGGCACAGTTGCTAATATAGCAACATGCTGTTTCAAACCATCTGTTGTTGGACTCCTGCTGTTGTCATGATTTCTGTTTGGTGTGGGTTGCTTTTGAAGGCTTGGAAGGCTCAAAAAAATAAAAGGTATACTTGTGGCTTCAGAATAGAACTTTTAAAGTTATTATAGTTGGAGTAATACAGTAAATATGTGCTTAACTGAACTTCCAAGTCCCTCTTGCAGGTGCTTTGAGCTGCTTTGTGCCTCTGTTGTGCTTGGTAGTGCTGCACAGGGGGCTGCTGTAGTGACTTTGGTTCACTAGGGGTGCATAGCTGGCATTGACCTTCAAAGACAGAGCTGACTGACTTGCAGATTTTATGCCACTGATCCCTGTTCATCATGCAAGTGAAAGCATTCACTCGAGTATGGGGCCCCACTACCCTCATTTACATGTGGTAACACAAAACCTGTGGCTGTTTTTAGCCTGACAAAGTGAATGTTGTAACTCCTCAGTACTGCTGGAACATTCCTGGTGCTTCCTGGTTTTTGCTATAGCACTTCAGCTGATCTTACCTGTTCTGATATGTTGGGACTTGGCTCACTCCTGTGTCTGACATATAGGTGTCTTCAAGCTTGTGACATTTCTGCAGCAAGACTGGGGAAGCAGCAAGGAGTATGGTTTTCTGATTACAATCCTACAGATTTCTGCCTGTTCTTTAGGATAAAGAGGCTGTGGAATGATACTGGGAGAATCACTCATCATGAGTACAGGGGTCTTTAACTCCCACATCACAAGCTCTCCAAGTTGGCCTGTGCCAAAAAGTGTGTTTTGCTGCCTTTGTTTTTATAAAAGGGAAACTTCTGAGTCTTGCCTATGACTATAACTTCTGACTGGTCAAGAAGACTCAAACAAAACCAGATCTGAACAAAGCCTTTGCTAGAGATAGTTGTTCTTGTGGTCATTTACTTGAATTCTTTGCAGGAAGGTGAGCTTAACCCTTACTCTCTGAATTCCTTGTTTACATTAGGGTAATACTTTTGTGGACTCATAGATGTGCATTTCATTAGTGACTTAATTTATTGCTGATTCTAGAAAAGGAAGAGGGGTGTTACAGCCCCTCCTTCCTCCTGCGTTTCTTACTGTGAGCTTTTTGAGGTACCTGCTGTCCACATCCAGCCTTATCTGGCAAAATTATAAACAGTCACATCAGATTTGCTGGAGAAACCTACACTATTTAAGGAAGCCTATTTAGTCTGTAAAATTTCAAATTTGACTATTTGGTGCTCATTTGGTACAGGCTTAGTTCAGTATTCCTGCTACAGCATGCTCTAAAAATAAGCTGTTGAATTAAGCTGGATACCAGGAGTTTGAGCAGGCCATTTTAACTGAGATCTAACCATTTACCAGCACACTGGTTCTTGCTGGTAAATGATCCATGGCTTTGGCACCAGCCAGCTTGTAATTTGAATATGCCAGTTTATGTGAGCACCTAATGCACGTGTGTTTGAAGTATGAGCAGGAGAAACTCAAGACCTTCACTCCTTAAAGCAGTCTGTATCTAAAACTCTAGTCTCTGAGGGATCAGCCTTCTACAGTCTTTCAGAACACATACACTCTGTGTGTTTTCATATTATATATGTTTGTGTGTATTTATATATATATATTTAGATTAGGCAAGTTTTATTCTGAAGTTGTAAGTTAAGTAGTCATCTCAGAGTGCTTTGTTCTTACTGGACCTTTTCTGTTTCATCTTAGCCAGCTCAGCTTCATGAAGTGTTATTCCTGGCTAGTCCTATACAGGACTCTTAACAGCAAATGAAATCAGAGAACTGGATGTTTAGTGATGAGAATTTCCCCCCTAATATTTAGTTGAATTAATCAGTTAGCATGTAAATCTGCCCAGAGCAAAGTCTTTGAGTAACAGAGCGAGTCTGGAATTGAGCAGAAATTGTTCTTTGCATTGAAAATACACCCCAACAAATGGCTGGGTTCCCTTCCAAATCCTCAGCAGCTTATCACTGTGTGCTGTGTTTCTCTGTGCTGCAGATATCCAGAGGGAAGAGGAGAAGGTGAAGCGCTCCATAAAAGATGCTGCCAAGAAGGGTCAGAGGGATGTGTGTGTCATCTTGGCCAAGGAACTGATCCGCTCGCGAAGGGCCGTAAGCAAACTCTATGCATCCAAAGCTCACATGAACTCAGTTCTCATGGGGATGAAGAACCAGCTTGGTAAGAACCACTCCTGAGCCCAAGTGCAATGACTCCTCTAGCATTAGAGGTGAGGTCTGAGTTTCCATTGTCAGAACCAAGGTCAAATGCAGGCAGAGCTTGAATTTGTAAGCAGGCTGATTCTTGTGAAAGGTAGCTGAGTCCAGTGGGCTTCAGGACTCAGGGAAGTTCCCCCCACAGCAGGCCCAGAGGGGTGAGGCTGCTGCAATTCCATGTCCCCACAGGCTGAGCACCTGTTCCCAGCAGGCACACACACAGGTGCTCACAGCAGTGCTGCTGCCAGCCTCCATCTGAACACACAGCTCTCACACAAACGTCAACAGCACTGGTAGCTCAGTCCTGGTCTTTCTCTTCAGCTGATAAGGACGGAGCTCTGCTAACAGGACACACACACACACACTATATAAACATAAATAAATAAATATATATGGGTTATTCCAGTAGCTGCTGTCAGGTGCTCAGTTTGGCCCCAGATCTCCTCCTCTGCCTGAGCTGCTGGTACATAGACTACTTGTAGGCCCCAAAAGTTTGTGGTCTTCTCTGGTCCACCTCAGTCTCTTTCTCCACCTTCAGTCCTTGCCCTATAACATCTATTAAGAAGTTTGTCATGTTCAACCAGATTCCTGAAATCCCCTTAAAAGACTCCATAATCTGTTTTTCTTAGTTCAAAGAAATCCTCTTTCCCCCCACATCCCATACTGAGTCCTATATCCCTGCAGGTAATAACCCCTTCAGTCTGCAGGATGTGCAGATTGGCTGTCTGGATGGGTTTCCCACCCTGAGCCCTGGAGTAGTTAGGGGGCTTCCAATTAGCTTCCTGGGGTTTCAACCCCTTGCTGTTCCCTAGATGCTTGCTGGCCCTCTGTGTTTCCTCTGATTAGCTGCTCAACACCTCCCCTCAGAGCCTGAGGGTTGCAGTGAGATGACTAATATGCTCTGAAACAGAATTCTTCTCCAGTAATTGGGGCATGTTTTTGGTGTGCATTCCTGAACAGCTTGAATGTGTGCCTAATATTAATATATCCTTGTGGAGCCTGTTGCTACTGATTTGGACAGGATCTGTAACATGAGATTTATTTCCTTCAGCAGAGTTCCCTTCATCTTGTAAATTATTGTTTCTCTAGCAAGAGTCTCAGGACAATTACTAAGGTGGAGATGGGGGGACAGTGTTTGATTTTTTGGATGTGGATGAGTTGATTTGCCCTGTGCCTTGATACGTAGCTCTCTGTAAACCCTCCTGGGTCCTTGGTGCTCCACCAGAACCAGCGTGTTTCCCTCATTCCTTACCCACATCAGAAGTCTCTTGTAATAGATTTCCTGCAGTGTTTTCTGTACCTTAGGACATTTTAGCCTCTAACAGGAGCAAAGCAGAAAGCATTAAAGACAGAGAAAGACTTGGTGGAGGTTAACATACTACTGAAATGTCCCAAGTATTCCTCCAGCCCAGCATTACCCAAGCTACTTGCTAGTAGATTTTAACACTGGAGGAGGGATAAATCAGGACTTGCAATGTGAACTTTAAGTGTAATCTTGCAGTAGGTTGGATGTATGTCCCCATGTACTTCATTCAGGAGAGGGAAGCAGGGGCCCTCCTTGCACTTTGAGGTGTCCCTTGAAAGGAAAAACTCAAAACAGCCTCCTCCTTATCCCCACTATTGCCATCTTCATTTTACTGGGAATGTGCTGATACACTTACCCAAGCAGCAGGA